ATAGCCGCTGTCATTTTTTCCGTTCCGAACCACAGCTGATTCCTGCCTCGAGGCTGCTAAAACTCGCCAGGCAAAGCTGCCCGCCCTTCTAAACGCGGTACCGGCGCGCCTGCCGACCAGTCACGATTTGGGACTGGGTGGGAAGGGTCCAAGGAAGGGGGTAGGGGAGGCAGGACCGCCTGCGGAGCTGGTGCTCCTCGGGTCGCCCCGGGAAACCCGCTGGAGTTGCGTCCCTGCCGGGGGAGGGAGCATCTCGGGGACCAGGGGGCGGAGGCGGGGGGCGGGAGGAAGGGCTGCTGCTCCCCCCGGGGAGGGATCTAGGGAGACGGGGCAGGAAGGGGTGCGAGTCGCTGGGGCTGGGTCATGTGCGGGGCTCTCGGCTGGGGGCCCAGAGCGGCTCCTGCTCCCACGAAGCCTGAGCCCCTTGCGATGGGGAAGCCTCCCTTGGGGTCAGGAGAGCGAGGGGGTTCCCGCTCCCAGTGCGGGAGGGGAAGATGGGGCCTCACCACCCACAGCGTTCGCCTCAAGCCTAGAGGCTTTGAGGACCCAGAAGTTTCCCTGCGATGCGACGACCCCTGCAGGCCGGGCCGGATGGCGGCCAGGTCAGGCCAAGGCTGGGGAGTTTGAGTTTGATGGGTTCCCGAGCCTGGCGGCACCGGGGTGGGTGCCCAGCACGCGTCCTGAGCCGGGTGCCGGGGGCTTGGGCCACCTGCCCCTCCCCAGCTCCGCTCCCTGCGCAGGGGGTGCTGGCTGGTTGGTGCTGGAGCTCGCGCTGTGTCTGTCTCCTGTGCGGAGTGACTGTGGCCGGCGTACCCAGCCTCTGGGCCTGCTTTCCTCCTCCAGAGCGTGCATACAGAGCATTGATGAGTCTGAGCTCCAGGAGAATTCCTTGAAGTTATTTCTTTCATTCTGACTACATTGTTCAGGACAAATGGAGGCCCCAAGTGCAGTTACAAAAAAACAAAACAAAAATGGTTTCTGTTCGATTTTGGAAGATATTTTCTTTAACTGCATTGGGCTGAGTTGGGGAACTGGTTTGCATGCAGGGAGGTGACCCAGTTGCTGCCAGCCAGGGATGAAAACTTGGCTTGTATAATCTGTGGCCACCCACTGGCTGCCTGGGAGTTGACCACCGAGGATGAAGGGCAGGAGAGCTGGGCTTAGAGTGAGGTGGACGGGCTGTGCTCTGCCATCCCCGAGCTGGACACCTGCTTAGATGCAGGTTGAAAGGGTTGCAAACAGCAAGTGACTGTAAATTATTAAAGTTCTTTGTAAACAGCGAGCGACTGTAAATTATTAATCCTAGTGCCTAACCGTATTAACATTTCAGGCTGTGTCATACCATGTCATCCTTGTCATTGTCCCTCAAGCAGCGGTTCTCAACCTTCTGGCCCTTTAAATACAGTTCCTCATGTTCTGACTTTCGTTGCTACTTCATAACTGTAATGTTGCTACTGTTATGAATCGTCATGTAAATATCTGATATGCAGGATGGTGGATGGTCTTAGGTGACCTTTGTGAAAGGGTCATTTGACCGCCAAAGGGGTCGCGACCCACAGGTTGAGAACCGCTGCTCAAGAGGGTTCACCTCTGACAACCCCAGTGTGAACTCAGGTCTGGCCTTACTGTTATTTGTACTTAATGAGTTTAAACTTTGCTTTCCATGGCAAGTTAAGGTTGTCTTTAAGGGAGTGTGCTGAACAATCAGAGCCTAGAAAAGCAACAATACCTTTGAACCTTGAACAAGGAGGGGATTGGGGGATTGCCCACCCCCAGTCAAAAATCTGCTTATAAACTTTTTTTTAAAAAGTTTTTTATATATTTTATTGATTTTTTTACAGAGAGGTAGGGAGAGGGATAGTTAGAAACATCGATGAGAGAGAAACATCGATCAGCTGCCTCCTGCACGCCCCGACTGGGGATGTGCCTGCAACCAAGGTGCATGCCCTTGACCGGAATCGAACCTGGGACTCTTCAGTCTGCAGGCCGACGCTCTATCCACTAAGCCAAACCGGTTACGGCTGCTTGTAAACTTTTGATTCCCCCCAAAATTTAACTACTAATAGCCTACTGTTGACTGGAAGCTTTACCAATAACATAAACAATTGATTAGCACGTGGTTTTTATGTTATATGTATTATATACTGTATTCTCATAATAACAAGCTAGAGAAACAAAAATGTTATTAAGGAAATCATAAGGAAAATACATGTACGTACTGTACCTATTTATTGAAAAAGCCCTTGTGTAAATGGACCTGCGGAGTGCCAACCCTTGTTCAAGGGCCAACTGCATTTTGCATACCAGGAGGCAAAAGAAGAAGTGGAATTATAACCAAATAATATTTATGAATGGGTGTTTTTTAGGTAGGCTCTTCAACTCCAAAAGGTCAAGAACTTAATATCCTTAGGTGTTGCCCTGAACTGTTAATTAGCTGGGCTATTATTCGACGAGGGTGGTATTTTAACTGCTTTGTTCATGTGAAAGCTCCAGGCCTGGCACACAGTAGGCCTAAAACAACTGTTGGTATGTCTCTGGGACTGAAGGGCCCTTTGAAGTTACCGGTGAAGTCACTCTCCTCGACATTTGGAGAAAAAGAGCCAAGAGGGGAATGGACTTGTCCAAGGTCACACAGGGATCGAGTGGCCGAGCCAGGAGTAGAACCCAACAAAAACAGTGGCGCCCAGGCTGTGCCAGGGCCAACACCCAGCATCCGTGACTATTTCGCTCTTTTGCTTTTGCAAGAGCCCTTGAGGTGGTTAATTGTTAGTCTCTGATTCTAAGTGAGGAAAGCAGGCTCAGAGAGGCAAGTCACACAGCTGCTAAGTTCCAGTCTTGAGACCCAGTTTTCACACGAAAGTGGGGGCCTGGCTTCTTTTGAACTAGTCTGCTCAGGTGAGTGGTGGACACCCTCCCTTGGGGCAGCAGTTCTCTCAGTCACCCCCCGGGTGGCTTCTGTCTGGGCTGGATTTTCCTAGGCCCTTGGGCATTGGGTCGGTTGGGTTTGTCAGGCAGGCTGCTGTCTGCTTCATTCACCATGTGCTCCAGCCCTGGTGGTGGTCCTTGTGCCTGGCGTACAGCAGGCACTGAGTAAAACCTGTGGGATGGGTATAACCTGGCGCTCTCCCCCTCCAACGCCCATTTACTACCTCTCCCCACACCTGGTCCTCTTTTTGTCCCCAGAGGCCTTAAGGGACTCTTTGATGGTGTATCTGGTGGGGAACCCCGAGGAACAGAGGGTAGCAAGCCTTGGTTGAGGAGCGAGTTGAGGAGATTGACCTTCAGTTTAGGAAAAGGGGAATGGGAATTGGGAGGGCTGGGGAGGTGGGAGGAGAGAGGCGGGAGGAGCTGCTCAGACTGATAGGAACTCCACTAGGGCCCTGGGATTTCAGTTCTGAGGCTCTGCCAACTTGAAAGTCTTCCAAAACTTGCAAGACATGCCCGGCCAGGCCACATGCCTTTTGGATTACCTGCTAGCATGGTTTCCCTCCTTGATTCTCTCCCCTGCTTGTTCAGGGATGGGGCTGCTGGGGCTGTGGGGCGGCAGCCCCTCCCTGGGGGTTGCACTTCCCAGCCACCCCTCTTGGGCCCGTGGGCCACATATAAGTCTTCAGGCCTCTGTGAATCTGGAGGGGTTACCCTGAAAGGTCTTTGCTGAGAACAATTTATTTAATAAGGTCAGTGTCCCAGAAGTCCAAACTCTAGCCAAATTTCAAACTCCAGCCAAATTTCCCTGTCTCTAAATGTACCCTCAGAGAAAGGTAAATATTTAAAGAGACACAGTTAACTTTCTAAAGGCCCCAAATCCAGTGGAACCAGAGATTGAGAGCTAAAAGAGGACTGAGTTTTTTGTTTTATCAGTCTTCACCGAGGATATTTTTCCATTGATTTTTAGAGAGAGTGGAAGAGAGAGGGAAAGACAGAGCCTGCAACTGCTATTAATAATAATTAAGTACTACTATTAATAATTAATAACAATAGCAGTCATTTATTGAGTTCCTAAAATGTGCTAAAACTTTGTTCTAATAAATTTAATTTTTCCAGCAGCCTATAAGGTAGATATTATAATTGCCAAGAGGGCGCTAAGGATCAGAGAAGGTAAATCACTTGTCTTCACAGTTACTATGTTGTGGAATCAGGAGTCAAACTTGGTTTGTCTGAAGCGGAAGTTCACTCATGAGCCTTTATAGCATCTGCTTTTTATTCCTAACTTCCTTTTATTCAAAATTCGTGTACTCGGAGGTGGGGGCGGGAGGAGGGGGTCCCTCAGCAGGAGGGGGTCCCTCAGCTTGGCCTGCGCCCTCTCGCAGTCTGGGAGCCCTCAGGGGATGTCCGACTGACAGCTTAGGCCCACAGCAGTCGGACATCCTTAGCGCTGCCATGGAGGCGGGAGAGGCTCCCACCACTGTCGCTCTGCTCACCAGCTGTGAGCCTGTGGGAGTGCACTGACCACTAGGGGGCAGCTCCTGCATTGAATGTCTGCCCCGTGGTGGTCAGTGTGTGTCATAGCTACTGGTTGTTCTGCCTTTCGGTCGATTTGCATATTAGCCTTTTATTATCTAGGATAAGGGACAAAAGCCAATCAAGTTTGCCTGATATCCATCAACCAGGCCCTGGACACCTGGTCTCAGCCCAACTTCGCCTGCCTTGCTGTGTGGTCTTGGGTAAGTCACAGCTTTTCAGCCAGCTTTTGGTTTCCCCGGATGTTTCATGCAGAGGTTAATGGCGAGTTTCCTTCTGCAGCTTAGGTCCATCTAGGTCGGAGGGCCGAGTTTAGCCTGGATTTGACCAATGTGGGAGTGATGATGGGGGGAGGGGAGAGGAGTGGAGGTTGTTTTTAGCCCCACCCTCTGGTGACATCACACAAGACACCTCCAGTCCCTTGAAACCCCGCCCCTAGTGACCCTGACCTGTGGAAGTGCCACCCAGTGCTTGGCATCTGGTGAATTTGCCTAGTCCCACAGAAGTCATCAACCCCAGGCTCTAGAGAAACCCCTAGGTAAGCAGTGCAAGGGGGCCTGGAATAGGTGGGCCCTGGCAGCCTGGTGGGCACTCCTCAGAGATTGCCCTGAGGGCGTACCCACCCTCATCCTCTGGCTGAGGTCTAAAGGAAGTAGGGCAGCAGGACCTCTGCCATCTCAGTGCGTGGCCTCTGGGTTCTGTATTTAGGGCCCACTGTGCCTGGGGGAGGGGGAGGCTGTGAATGAGGAGGTAGCTGTGGGCCAGGGCTTCACTGGTGCAGAGCCAGTGGGTAGCTGCTAACTGGGGAGACAGGTCCCTGGATGTGAGTCGGTTGCTAGAAGCCTAAGAGAATAATTTACTGAAAAGGACTTGGTTGCCTGCTTTAGACCAGTATTTTCCAAAGTAGTTCGGTGGGACGCAGGTAGGTGTGACAGGAGGCGGGGCAGCAGCAGAGTGGCTAAGAGTCTGTGCTCCGCAGTCAGAGAGCTGGGTCCAGTCCAGGCTCCACCTCTCTCTCTGTGTCTCTGTGTCACCTCAGGTAAGAAGCTAACCTCTGAATTTCACTGTCCTGAACAACAAAATGGCACAATAATAATATTTACCTCACAGGCTAGTTATGAGAATTAATTGCAGCAAGGTTGTAAAGAGTCAGCATAAACACTTATTACATTTCAGCTAGCTTTATAGTATAATTATTACTGAGAAAGGAATTCTCGGTCACGTAAGCTCGGCAAATGTAGGTTCAATAACAAAATGAAGCAGGCTTCTTTACTGCAGGACTTTTCAGAGCCTTTTTTTTTAAAAAAAATATTTATTTTTTACAGAAAAGAAGGGAGAGGGATAGAGAGTTAGAAACATTGATTCAGTTGCCTCCTACACATCCCCCTACTGGGGATGTGCCCACAACCAAGGTACATGCCCCTGACTGGGATCAAACCTGCGACCCTTTTGTCTGCAGGCCAATGCTCTATCCACCGAGCCAAACCGGTCAGGGCACTTCTGAGAGCCTTTAATATACTGTGATGCCTGGGGAAGTTCTAAGAGTGGGGTAGGGAGCATTTGACTGACATAATGGATCACAGAGACCCAGGAACGAGGCCACCGTAGCATGTCAGCCTTCCCTGGTCTTTGCCCTGGTGGTGGGACGGAACGCTTGCTGGATTGGGCAACTCTGGGAAAGGCCTCTCTGCCTCTGGGCTCTTGTTTCCTCACAAAGGAGCTGCATGAGATGCTTTCAGAGGGCTTTTTGGCTCCCTAAGGTTCTGAGTTGGGAAGAAAAAGTTGTAGACAAGGATGGAGGCCAGATGGTTGAGGCGGAAGCCCACTCCCTTGAGGAGGAGAAGATCCAATTTTGGTTCCCCAGCCAGCAAGGCAGGACAGGGGTTTTCATGGTTGGGATGGCAGTGGTCCCATTCATTAGTCCATCAGCAAGGTCTGCTTCCTAATCCTAAACTGCTCTGTCCGGGAAGTGGAAGAGTCCTGGACTCCCTGTGTAGCATCTCTCATGTGGTAGAGTAGTGACTTCTTTCACACCTGTCTCCCCACTGGACTAGGAAAGGCTACAGACCAGAGCGACTCCAGAAGTGTCATGTGGGAGGAGCTTACAGATGCAAATTGGTCTGGGAAGCGGGAGGGGGCAGGGAGGCGTGTGGGCTGCCTGGACCATTTGCTGGTGGTAGAGAATATGAATGCCCTTCCTGCCCAGGTCTCCTTGCCTCTTACAGAGCAAGAGTAGTTGTAATGAAATCTGATGCAAAGGGAGTGGTAATAAATCTGATGAATGATGGACAGAAAACCTGAATGCTGAGTTCAGTAAGCTTTTGGAGGGAACTTACTTGATGGAGGGGAGTTGTCTGGCAGGTGCCAGTTTTTCAATAGATATTTGATTTAATGAGTGACATGCTGAATAATGATAGCCTGAATCAGTGGTTCTCAACCTTCTGGCCCTTTAAATACAGTTCCTCATGTTGTGACCCAACCATAAAATTATTTTTGTGGCTACTTCGTAACTGTAATGCTGCTACTGTTATGAATTGTCATGTAAATATCTGATATGCAGGATGGTCTTAGGCAACCCCTGTGAAAGGGTCGTTCGACCGCCAAAGGGGTCGCGACCCACAGGTTGAGAACCGCTGGCCTAAATAAAGTAACTGGTACCAGCAAATGCTATTAAAAAACTATAGCATATAATTATGAAATGATTAATGGCACTTGCCACCTTATCTTGCAAAGAGCAGTTTAGGGTAATGGTTAAGATTGGAAACAGGCCTGGCCGGTGTGGCTCAGTGGTTGAGCATCAACTGATGAACCAGGAGGTCACAGTTCGATTCCTGGTCAGGTTTTGAGCTTGATTCCCCAGTGTGGGGCATGCAGGAGGCAGCCAATCAATGATTCTCTCTCATCATTGATGTTTCTTTCTCTCCCTCTCCCTTCTTCTCTGAAATCAATAAAAACATATTAAAATAAAAGATTGGAAACAGGATTTAGATTGTACCTCTGCTGCTTCCTAGCTAGGTGGATAATAGGGTACTTAGCTTCTCTGTGCCTCAGTTTCCTTATCTGAAAAGTGGGACAGTATCAACTTCACAGGGTATTATGAAGTGTAAATGAGTCCATTAAAATGCTTAAAACAGTGTCTGGCACATTGCAAGTATAGTGTAAGCATTTGCTATGATTTGTTTTCCTTTCTATAATCTCTACCATATCAGGAAGTTCCTGAGGGCAGGGCTCAAATTCTTTTTCACTTTGCCCTCCCCTGGGTCCAGCACAGGACCTGAGGCAGAAGAAGAGCTCAGTGTTTGCTGAATGAATGAATGAGTTTTAAATGCTAAATTGTATAACCCATTATAAGTTTCCCACAGGGGAAAGTGGGCAGGGGGCAGTAAGGAGGTCCCCTGGGGGTGGCAGCTTGTGGAGGGAAAGGAAGTTGGTGTGACATTTGGGATAGATGGGAATTGAGGGTGGGAGCAGGTCATAAAGTCTTGAAGGCTAGGGTGATGGGTTAGATTGATTTTTTTTTTTTTTTGGGAATTGGCAACCATGGCTGGGATGGAAGGGCTGGAGGAGGGAACTCTTGTGTGGGGGTGTGGCTGAGGGAAAGGGCTGTTTTTATAAGGATAAAGTTCCTGGAATTTTCAGCAAAAAAGTGGCTTTTTTGTTGGGTCTCAAAGGGTATGAAGTATTATCAGAATGCAGTTAGTTGTTCTTTGACTCAACAACCACTGAGTGTCAACTACCTGCTAAGCACCAGGGGTTCACAACATAATGAGACAAACTGCCCAGCCTCGATGAGCTCCCATTAACAATTTTAATACCCGTGTGAAGTGTCATATGATCAAAGGATATACCTGATGGTAGGAACTCAAGTGGAGAGGTCATCATCTGAGGTTCAGGGGGCCAGGGAAAGTATCATAGATGAAATGGGTTTTGAGGGATGAATATGAGTTTGCCAGATAAGCAAGATGCGGCAAATATCTCAGGTGGAGGGACCAGCTTATGCAAACTTATACAAATGTGAAACAGGCCCAGGAGGTTGGTGAGGCTGTGGCTGGATTTGAATACATTGTGGTTGAGCAATACTAGGCTGGAAATGACAGCAGGGACTAGTTCACGTAGGGTAATGGAGGGTCAGTGGGAGACTAAGGGGGCTAAAAACAGAGGCAGCTGGTCTGTTAGCAAGGTCATTGTCACCACCAGGTGAACGCTGATGGCAGCCTAAACACGGAGAAAACAAGGGGGCTCTTCTGTGGAGCTTGGACTCAAAGGAAGTGGCTGAGCTAGTGAGCCTTATCAGCGAATGCATTCCTCAAACATTTATTGAGCACCTATTAAGTGCCAGGCACTGTTCTAGGCATTTGGGACACATCAGGGAGCAGGACAATCATGAATCAGAGCTGAGCTCTCCCTTCGGACGACTCCTTTCTTCTGAAACTCAGCGTAGGATAAGGGGGCGGGCAGGAGGGAGTGAGAACTGGGCATGGGGGTGAAGACACCAGCCCCTGACTTTGCTCTGGTCCCTCTCCCAGCTCCCTTCCCAGTCCACAGCCATGGCCACCTTGGTGGCCCAGAAGCTTATCCACCTGCTGCCCAGTTTTCGGCAGGCCCACCAGGAGCCTCATCAATCTGTGCAGCCAGAGCCTGTCTTCACGGTAGACCGAGCCAAGGTGCCACCCCTCTACTGGAAGCCATACATCTACGTGGGTTACCGGCCACTGCACCAGACCTGGCGCTTCTACTTCCGCACGCTGTTCCAGCAGCACAACGAGGCGGTGAACGTCTGGACCCACCTGCTGGCGGCCCTGGTGCTGCTGCTGCGGCTGGCCATTTTTGTGGGGACCGTGGACTTCTGGGGAGACCCCCACGCACTGCCCCTCTTCATCATTGTCCTCGCCTCCTTCACCTACCTCTTCCTCAGTGCCTTGGCTCACCTCCTGCAGGCCAAGTCCGAGTTCTGGCATTACAGCTTCTTCTTTCTGGACTACGTGGGTGTGGCTGTGTACCAGTTTGGCAGCGCCCTGGCACACTTCTACTATGCCATCGAGCCTGCCTGGCACGCCCAGGTGCAGACCATTTTCCTGCCCACGGCCGCCTTTCTCGCCTGGCTTTCTTGCACTGGCTCGTGCTACAACAAGTACATCCAGAAGCCCGGCCTGCTGGGCCGCACGTGCCAGGAAGTGCCCTCAGCGCTGGCTTACGCACTGGACATCAGCCCGGTGGCGCACCGCATCCTGGTGTCCCCCAACCCTGCCACCGATGACCTCGCTCTTCTCTACCACAAGTGCCAGGTCGTCTTCTTCCTGTTGGCTGCTGCTTTCTTCTCGGCCCTCATGCCTGAGCGCTGGTTTCCTGGCAGCTGCCACCTCTTTGGGCAGGGCCACCAGCTCTTCCATGTCTTCCTGGTGTTCTGCACTCTGGCTCAGCTAGAGGCTGTGGCGCTGGACTATGAGGCCCGGCGGCCCATCTATGAGCCACTGCATACCCGCTGGCCCCACAACTTCTCCGGCCTCTTCCTGCTCACCGTGGGCAGCAGTGTCCTCACCGCATTCCTTCTGAGCCAGCTGGTACGGCGCAAACTCGATCAGAAGACCCAGTGAAGGGAGGTGGCAGCTGGTAGGGAGGGAGGTAGAGTGGGAGCCCAGGGGTCCGGGCTTGGCTCCATATAGGAACAAGGCCTGGTAAAGTTGTTTGTGTCTGCACTGCGGTGTCTCTGTGCGCACGCCTCGGCTACCTAGGATGGCATTGGCTAGTCCTTGGGTTTAGGGGTTGGCCTGGAGTTCTGGGGTCCACTCCCGGGCCTGCCCTAACTCCCTGACTTGGGAGCGGGAAAGAGATAAAGATGTGGCTACCCTGGTTTGCCCCCCCACATTGCCTCTCACTACAGGTGAGGATGGGGAGGGGGAAGGGGAGTCAGCTGGGGCCAGGACTCTGGTTTGGGGCTTCCAGATTATCTAGAGGGGGTGAAGGTGGAATTTAGGCTAGAGTTAGATTTGAGCTGAGAGGCAGAGGAGGCCTCAGCAACGCCCATGTACCAGATTTCATTGGTGGGTGGGGAAGGGGCAGGACCGAAGTGTGTGCAGGATCTTACCATTGTCTGAACCCCAGCCTGGAGTTTTGGAGCTTCAGAGTCCCCAAAGGTAAAGACTGTGCTGGGTGCAGGTGGATCCCACCCAGTGCCCCCTATCCCTCAGTCACTGTCCCCTGCAGCTCACCTTCCTAGCTTTGGCCTCCATGTTCCAAATGTCCTGTTCCCAGCCATTCTCCTGGTTTCCACTGGGCCCTCTGGATCAAAGACTTTAATATTGGGATGGACTGTCAGGGGAAGCACTGAGGAGGGAATAATCAGTATGGCCTGGGGCCCTCAGGGTTTTGGGTTGGGAAGGGTGAATAGGAGTTTGCAGACGGAGAAGAGGAAAGGTATTCCGGGCAGAGGGGAAAACCTGTACAAAGACCAAGGGGTACGGAAGGAGTTCAGTGGGGCTGGAGCTAGGGGCGGTCTGGACTTTGGTATGTCCTGGATGCAATAAAGTTACTGTGATAACAGCTGCCTCTTTGTTTTTTTGTCTCCTGTTCCAGGGAGATCCATGGGCCTGCTCATGGTGTGGTTTTGTTTTGTTTGTTTTATCTTTGCCTGAGGTGACATTGGGGCCTTGTGTACTATATGTATGAACTTTTTAATTTTTTTGGAAGGGAAGTGGGGGGGGCAATTTTATTAAGTAAAATTTAGAAGTTAAAATAATGTTTTAAAAATATACATCATCCTGCCTTAGCTGGTTTGGCTCAGTGGATAGAGCGTCTGCCTGTGGACTGAAGGGTCCCGGGTTCGATTCTCATCAAGGGTACATGCCCAGGTTGCGGACCCGATCCCCAGTAGGGGATGTGCAGGAGACAGCCGATCGATGATTCTCTCTCATCATTGATGTTTCTCTCCCTCTCCCTTCCTCCCTGAAATCAATAAAAATACATAAAAAAAAATACATCATCCCATTTTATAATTTGCCGAAGATTTCATTTTTTGCCTTCAGTCAAGGAGGATTTTATGTCAATTTTTCATGGTATGGCTATAGGTTAACTTTTATAATAATGCTTTCTTCAGAGTACACAAGCAATATATGTACAGTGAAGGAAAATTAGAAAGTTACAGGTAAGAAAATTCCCCAAATGCCTAAGAAATATGTAATATCTATGAAGATTGTGGTTAGGAATGGAAGGACAGGGTGGGATGCCATCATTTTTGCATGTCTAAGGCTTTCACAAACGTTACTTCACTTGATCTTCTCTAAAATCCACAGAAGCCACAGAAGGCAGAACTGAAAGCTAGTTCTTGGCTCCAAATTTTTAGTTTTCATTTTAACATTTTCTAAATCCTCTCCTATGTGGCTTCACAGTCAAGCTTTGATTTCCTTTCTGTGAATTATAACAGTAACTCATAAACTCCAGGGCATGTTAACCATTTAAGGGTAGGGTGGTGGACCCCAGATTTGGAGCCCGTGGATCTGAGCCTTGACTCCACTCTTCCTTTTTGAGACAAAGAAAACCCTGAGCGCTGGAGTAGTTATTATCTATAACTAGAGGTCTCGTGCACAAATTTGTGCACAGGTGGGGTCCGTTGGCCAGTGATCGGGCCGATAGGGGCCGTCTAGCCCAGTCCTGTTTGGGGGCCAGCCAGTCAGGAGGAGGGACTTAGGGAGGTTGGCTATGGGAGCGCACTGACCACCAGGGGGCAGACGCTCAATGCAGGAGCTGCCCCCTGGTGGTCAGTGTGCATCATAGCAACCGGTCAACCTGTTGTAACAGTTGCTTAGGCTTTTGTATATATATAGATAACAAAAGGGTAACATGCTAATTAGACGGGACTTCCAGACATCTGAGGAAGCCAGGGCTGGAGTGAAGCCACCTGGGTTCCTGGTGCCTGCCTGTGGCCGGAGGAGAGAAGCCCAGGTCCCAGGTGCCTGTGAGCAGCCCAAGGGAAGCCAGCCCGGGTCCCGGGTGCCTGCCAGTGGCCAGAGGGAAGCCTGGTCTCGGGTGCCAGAGGGAAACCGGTGCGGGCAGCCGGGGGAAGGAAGGCCTACTCTTGCACGAATTTTCGTGCATTGGGCCTCTAGTGTTTGCAATAAGGAAGTACAACTAACTCAGCAAGAAGAAAACGCACGTTTCTTGTGCAGAGTCGCGAACGCGTCCACACAGCATATTTCCTGGAATACAACCCTTGAATGAAGAGAGAACACGAAGTCCTTCACAAAGAGAAAAGGGGCTAGCGGTGGTTGTTTCGGCGTGGGGCGGGGCTTTTAAAGGGGGGGGGGGCCCTAAACCCGCCGGGGCAAAAACCCGGGGGGCGGTCCTGCGTACAGGCAGGCGACTTTACTCCCCCCCCCCCGGTGGGCCCGGGATCCGAACGTTGGCGGGGGCGGTGGGTCCCGGTTCCGGGGCCGGCGGAAGCCGGCCCGCCGGAGGCGAACGAAGCCCCCTTCAGCCCCAAGGGGGGCTCAGGGCCCGAGGAAGGGCCTGCGGCGTGTGGCTGGACGCGGCGGCGCTGAAGAGGCGGAAGGTGCAGGTGGGATGGTGGGGAGCGAGAGGTGTTTGGGGAGGGGGGAGGGGGGAGGGGGGAGGGACATTTTGGGGGACCGGGAGGTGATGAAGGCAAAGTCAGGGACTGAGAAGGAAACAGCTTTGGGAAT